CAGAAAATTAAAAAGCAGAAAGGAATAAATTATCTGTTGATAAAAGATAGCAGAAATCTTATCATACAGATTAAATACTTACTAAATCGTCTTCTAACATTTAGTAAACTTAAGAAAAGAAAGCTATCTCTATACAAAAATGATTACTGCATTCTATAAAAAAAAGAAATTCTAGAAGATCTCAATGATCTAATAAGTTGCTTAGTACTATAAGATGTTTAGAAAGAAATTGAAAAAGTAATAATAAAAAGTATTAGCAAGATCTAACTTGAGAAAGTTAATAGCTCTGACTTGATATCAAAAAGCAGAGTAATTATCTTCTTAAAAGATAAGGAAAGCTAATTTCAAAGAAGAAAGAAGCTAATAATTGGACTCAATGAAAAGAAAATAGCTGAAGATATCTATTTAGTAGCTCAGAAGAAAGATATTATGAGATCTTAGATGAACAATATCTTTTTTATCATTCAAAGAAGCTTTGCAGAAGTTATATAGAACTGGTAATATGAAAAGGTAATTCTCTTAGAAAAAAGTAAAGAAATTATAATGAAGCTAAAAAGAAGCAGAAAAGAAGAAAAAGAGCTAAGAATGAGAACCTAAACAGATGAAAGGAGAAAAGTATTGCTTGCAGAAAAGAAAAAGAAAAAAGAAAAAAAAAAAATAATAGTGTTAGTAGAAGGAGTAGTTAGAAAAGAAATTAAGGAAAGAGAAATAAGTTGGTAGAGTTTTCTTTAATATAGTTAGACAAATTGTTCTAGCCTTTTGATTAGTGCAACAAGTCATACCTGAGTATTCTAGTAGTAGCTAGGTGATATCAAACTTAGTAAATTAGGTAGATTATATAATCATGTAACTTGGCTAAAACTGCAGTTAACAACTTAATAAAGTTTATGACATAACTATCAAAGAAAATATATATATATATATATATATACAATATTACATCAAATATATATTTTGTATTTTATAAAAACTTTAATTATAAAACAAGTTTAATACAAAAAAAAAAAAAAAAAAAATAACTATTGTTAATTTATATTTTAAACAGAAGTTTTTTTATTTAGTATATAAAAGTTTTTTTATTTAATATATAATTAGATTTTTTTTTTTTTATTAGATTAATAATATCAATTAGAAAAAAAATTAGTATATTTATATAACAAGATAATATATAATTAGATTTCAATAACTAAAAATTCATTTATATAATACAACTTACTTTAATATATTAAAAAACAAAAAGATTTATATTATAAAATAACTTTAAGATTAGCGTATAGTAATAATAAGTAATAATAATTCTTACTGTATAACGATAAAAAGCTTTGACGTTAGTCTATGTACTAATCCAATATCTATACAAATATTAGCAATTCTCAGTTTAAAAAATTTTCTATCTATATTACACTCAGGTTACACTGTAACAATACTTATAAATAGCTTATTAAATATTTATATTTCAACTATACAGTATTTTTATAATAAATTACGCAGTTTTGATTTCCAAGTGTGATATTTTTAGGCGGAGTTCAAGAAAATTCGTAAAGCAGGATCATCATTTATTTTCTCTCTTTTGAGTTTCTTTATATTAAGAGCTTTCAAAAAATTAAATAAATAAGTAAAAAAGATAAGAGGCTATTTTTTACGGGTATAGAAGTTGTAATAGCGGAGAAAAACTTTAGGTTCTTTATAACGAAAATGTCGAATATTTCACAAACGTTAGTATGGTGGCTTACCTAGTTCATTTTAGTATAGCAGTAATCAAATATGCTTTGTTTCTTTTGTTGGCTGTTAATTTCTTACTTTAAACGATAATGATCCTTTACTTTTATTCTCTATAAAGAAAAACAATACGTTTAACAGGTCTGCAGGGTTTTCAATCTCGCTTAATTTTATCTTACAAGATGATTGACAGATTCTTGCCTCCTATTCTTTTATATATTAGTCATCGCTGCAGATGGTCTATATAAGAGAGACGTATTTCGTACGTAGTTACGCCTATGAATTTTTAAAAAGTGTTTATATAGGGTGATCTAAATTGCTGCCTTATACTTCGCCTTCGTAGGGCTTCCCGATCCTTTTGCAGTCGTAACTGTGGACGGAGAACAAACACATACTACATCTGTGATCAAGAAAAGTTTGAATCCATATTGGAATGAGAGTTTTGATATGTATGTGTTTTATATGCTTTTTTATTAACCATAGAAATTATTATTTATTATTATTTTAAATTATTATTATTTATAATTTTATATATTATTATTATTATTACTATATTTATTATTATTGTTTTTTTTTTTTTTCTCTCTCTCTTTTTTTTTTTTTTTTTTTATACACAATATATTCTATATTCATAATATTGATTCTCATTATTGTAGACAAGTAACAAATCAAAGCGTAATCGCTGTACAAATCTTCGACCAAAAAAAGTTTAAAAAGAAGGATCAAGGATTTTTAGGCGTAATCAATGTTCAAGTAGTCGATGTGATTGACCTTGACTCTAATGCTGATAGCGATGGTAAGCAATATAGCTTTACCACATTACATACAGTATAAATTCATATAATACTATATTTAAACTAATGTTTAATTTTTTCTATTAAATTTATGTTTAATACAGAAATGTTGACAAAAGATTTGAAAAAATCAAATGCAAATGAAGTAGTGCATGGTAAACTCATTATCAACCTATCGACAAATATAAACGCATCACTTTCCCATCCTGGTGTAAATCATACCCGTACGGGTTCCATTGCATCATCATCCAACTCAAATTCAAATCAGAGGGCTAGTAGTTTTGTTGAAAATAATTCAAATCCAAGAGGTAGTTTTGCTGAAAATGCAAGGCCTAATTCTGTTCCTTCAGCAGCAAACGGAAATGCTCTACCAGGACCAAGTACAACTTCTGGAGGTAATTCAGCGCGAGCATATAGTTCCCTTGAAGACCAATACGGACCATTGCCATCTGGGTATTTGTTTTTATTGCTATGATTATTACATTATCTATTACAAATAAATGGTTAAGCTGATGTAAACCTATAATTTTTTATTACATAATTAATGTATTGATAGCTGGGAACGTCGCGTAGATCATCTTGGACGTACATATTATGTGGACCATAATACACGAACTACCACATGGACGAGGCCATCGATAAATGCAACGGCCACTCAACGGTTACAAGAACATCAAAATATAACAGAATTAGAACGTCGTAGACATAATAATCGCACGCTCCCTGAAGAACGTCCAACAGGTTCCTCATCTATGCCCAATAATACATCGTCAACATCTATTCCTGGTTCTGGTGCTGAAGCGTCTACAAGTGCTTCTAATGTAACTTTAGCTCCTGTGGGACATGTCGGAACAACAACAGCAGGTTACGGACCATTGCCTTCCGGTTGGGGTACGTAGTGATAATAAATTATTGTATACGATTAGTGATGATATTATTATTTTATTCTATTTAACATGCATTTAAATTTATTATCCAATTAAGAACAAAGAACCACTCCAGAGGGTAGACCTTATTTTGTGGACCATAACACTCGAACAACTACTTGGGTAGATCCTCGTAGACAACAATATATCAGAATGTATGGTGGAAATGCGAACAATGTCACCATCCAACAGCAACCTGTATCTCAATTAGGTCCACTGCCCTCTGGCTGGGAAATGCGTTTGACAAGTACTGCCAGAGTTTATTTTGTAGATCATAATACAAAAACCACTACATGGGATGATCCGCGATTGCCCAGTAGTTTAGAGTATGTAACTTTAAAATTCATCATTACTATTAAGTCTCAACGTTCTTAAATTACTTAAATATTGCATTTTTTTTCTTGATTTTTTTTTTTAGTCAAAATGTACCTCAATACAAACGAGACTTTCGTAGAAAGCTTATTTACTTCAGATCTCAACCTGCTCTTCGACCCGTACCTGGCCAATGCCACATTAAGGTCCGACGCGAGTTTATTTTTGAAGATGCTTATTCAGAAATCATGCGACAACAACCACAAGATCTTAAAAAACGATTGATGATCAAATTTGAAGGTGAAGACGGATTAGATTATGGTGGCTTATCCCGGTAATTATTAAAAAAAAAAATTTTTTTTAATTTATTAAATATTCTTGTAAATAAAGCGGATGCTAATAATTTCTTATTCTATTTCGATTCACAAATTCTTTAGAGAATTTTTCTTTTTGCTTTCTCATAAAATGTTCGATCCTTTCTATGCTCTTTTTGAATATTCCGCTCATGATAACTACACCCTCCAGATTAACCCCCATTCGGGAATTGATCCTCAACATCTTAACTATTTCAAATTTATTGGACGAGTAGTCGGGCTTGCTATTTTCCATCGTCGATTTTTAGATGCATTTTTCATTACATCATTTTACAAAATGATTCTGAAGAAAAAAGTTGGTTTAGCTGATATGGAAAGTGTAGATGCAGACTTTTACAGAAGTTTAACCTGGGCTTTGTATGTTTATTTGCTTTATTAAAATTTTCCTTAATTTTATTGATCTTAATATTTAAGACTTTTCTCTACTTATAAAGAGAGAGCAACATCACTGATGTTTTGGATTTAACATTTTCAACCGAGGATGAACGCTTTGGGGAAGTTGTGACGGTTGATTTGAAACCGGATGGTCAGAATATCCCAGTGACGGAAGAAAATAAGAAGGAATATATTGAGTATGTATTAAATTATCGATTTATAATTATTATTTTCTTTTTTTTTATACAATATATTGTATTTTTTTCAGTCTGATCACGGAATGGCGTATTTCTAAACGTGTTGAAGATCAATTTAAAGCATTTATGGATGGATTTAATCAACTTATACCACAAGAATTGATTGCAGTGTTTGATGAACGTGAATTAGAGGTTAGAGTCAAAATTTTATTATTATTTTATTTTATTTGTCTGTAGATCGGTTTTGCCAATAGGTTCGATATGCGTCTTGTGCTAGTTAGCAATAAAATCACTACACGGAAAAAATCGGTCTTGGAAACACCTTGATTGAAACAAATTATCCATTATTATTCCAGTTACTTATTGGAGGTATCGCTGAAATTGACGTCGATGACTGGAAGAAACACACCGATTACCGAGGGTATACAGAGTCAGATGATGTTATACAGTGGTTCTGGAAGGTTGGTATCATTTATGTTGCTTATTCTTTTTTTTTTTTCTGATATAAGCTTTATTTATAATTATTGATTTATTAGTGCGTACGATCGTGGGATTCCGAAAAGAAATCTCGTTTATTGCAGTTTACTACCGGAACTTCCCGCATTCCCGTTAATGGATTTAAAGATCTACAAGGAAGTGATGGACCTCGTCGGTTTACAATTGAAAAGGCAGTAGATGTTACTCAGTTGCCGAAGAGTCATACTTGGTACGCCGACTTTTTTTTATTTATTATTGCGAAATCTTTTAAATAAACAACTCAAGCTTTTTTATATTATGCTATAAATAGCTTTAATCGTATTGATTTGCCACAATACAAAAACTATGAAGCGTAAGTCTATTTTATTGTCGATAGTACTATATTTTATATTTATATTTAATAATTTTTTCTTGAATTGACAAAATAGATTGGTATCTAAATTAACATTAGCGGTTGAAGAAACTGTAGGATTTGGACAGGAATAAGATTATCAATTTTATTTGATTTTGTCATGTTGGTCGTATTACATGTATCCTTTCTTCGTTTGGATACGGGGTATACCATCGGGTCCGTTTCGCTTTGTATTTTTTATTTTATTTTGACCCATTCAATTCCTTACCTCGCCTTTACTGTGTTCATTGAACCTTATAAACACCTTCCATTTAAGCTATATTTTAGTTGCCTACAGTATTTACTTTTCATCATGTTCCTACATTATTTCCGGCACTATTCCATTTTTTTAAAAATATACATGTCACTTTAGTGACGATATGTCTGTATTTCTTTTTTTTTTTTATTAGTAGTTACTTTATTTGAGTATATATATTTTATTATTGTACTGTCTTTTTTCTCTAGAAAATTTGGTACACAACAGAACTCTTTTATGGAAGTTGGTGATACAGTTAATAATTCAAAAAGGACGATCGTTATACATGTAGAGTACTATCACTATGTGAAAAATTTCTATTTATCTTGATATTTTTATTCACACAATCCATTGTGTTCTTTCCCATTGATATTATTTAATATTTCACAAATTTTTATCATCGCCTATGCATTCTATACATTGGATTATAAGGATGTCACCATTCCTATATAGTATGAAGTGCAAAGCAATCTCCGATTATTTGTCAATATTTCGTGTGATGTTACTATGCAGAATAACCAAGTACATTGTCGTGTTACCTTGTTATGTAATTATAAATAAATCAATAAAATAAATTTTATTAATGCTAATATAATATCATTAAACGGTACCGAATTTTATTGGACATGGAATTATTTATATGTAAAAGACGGATTTTAATTAATAAAAATATTATATTACGTAGCGTTAGGTGTTTCAAAATTAAAAATCAGAGAATCTTATTTTATTTTTCCGATTTAATAACGCCCGGGGCGTTATTTCGCGATAATACGGTAGAGATTTAAATTTTATACTAATATTTGGAGTTTGCTATTTATTGCTACTGGTGATTATCACCAGTATGAAATTAGCCAATTTTTTTTAAAAAAATGCTTATATCTCAAAAATTCGCTTATGAAACCACCTTCGATGTATTAATGGCTATCCGTTTCACTTTTGTACTAAATTTAGTCAGTACTAAAAAATCATTTAAACCTGAACTATACAATAAATTTTATTCAAAATTTGCCAAAATATATTTTAATATTTAAGTTAAAAATATATAAAAGTTTAATTATATTTATAAATAAAAATTTTATATAAATTAGTTTTAAAGACTTAAATTTTTTTAAAATTTTGTTAGTACTTAATTTAGTACAGCACTAAGAATTAAAATTATAAAAATTTATTATAATAAAATTATAAAAATACAAAAATTTTAAATTAGTTTAAATCTAAATTTGATTTTAAAAAAAATTATTTTACTTAAAATTTAAAATTTTAAAATATCTGTTTTAAAGTAATACAAGTTTAAAGGCAGTTATAGTAAATCATATGTTTTTTTTTTTTTTTTTTTTTTTAAGCAAAGCCAAGATAAGATAAATCATATGTTTTATATAGTAAATTTTATAAAAAAAATTAGCAAAATTAAATTATTTATATCTTTTTATTTATCAAATTAATCTTAATAATTTTACTATCAATAGAATTATTAAAACTAATTTTATAATATATTAAAAGCTTATAGTATTTGAATTATTTAAAAAATTTTTTATTTGTATTTTTATAAAACTTTTAGATTTGTAGATCTACTATATAGTAGTTATATTTTCAAGTTACAATCACAAGGATCTGGTGATCTTAGTATAGTAGTTAGGTTGCCAGACTGTCATGCAAGAGGTTTGAGATTCAAATCCTATTGTTGCCAAATTTGAATAATTACTTGGACCTTTGTACCCAACTTACGGTAAACTCTGTTCGTTTCTGGGGTTGTAACCCTGTAAGTTAAGTTGCACCAAGTTAATCAGACATTGGTAGTGTGGCAGCAGTTAATCACAGGATGATATGCGCATACGAATAAATCTTAATAGAAAAATTTAGTGTGGTGGTAGTTAATCACAGGATGATATACGTACACTGATCTACAGGCAGGGGACCTGCATGGTAGAAATTCTGAGTTAGGTAAAGTAGTACAGATTTTGACGGTTATACTGGTTTACACCTGATCCGATAAAAGAAATTTGTAACTGAAAGATGTGACTGAGCGAGTGCGAGTAAGTCCATCACTCAAGTCATACAGCAACACCAACCTGGCTTGGCAGCTAACTAGATTAGGAGGATCTGTCTTGTGAAACATCTGAAAATATAGAGAACTGATCCAGTAGAAGGTCATGGTAGGAACTAGGTTTGTACGAATATCAAATAAGGGTATATGCAAGCTAGATTAGGATATAGCGTAGCATAGTTAGGTACCACAGCACCCCATTGATTAAGGAGTTGGTGAAGGGACACCTTGTGATAGAGTCTAGGCTCCGAACCATAAAGTTTGTGGACTAATATCAGCTCGGATGTCTTCCATGAGAAGTAGCATGGGGTTAGGTGAATTTGATAAAATAAGGATAGAATACGGATAAGTGTCATAGGGCCAGAGAGTTTAAATAGATAATCTTCAAATAGATTTCAGGTATAGTAGCTAGTGTAGAACCTTCGAGCGGACTACTTAAATTAGACAATCTAAAGTTGTATGTGTGGCTAGTTGTACTCTCACAATATGTATCATTTACTTACTATCAATACCAATAAAAAATTTGGCCGATAGCATTTGTATAAAGTAAAAAAAAAAAAAAAAAAAAAAAAAGTTACAATCACAAGGTTGTTAGTTCAAATTTAATTAAGAAGATTAACTAAATTAGAATTATAAATAAAGATTTAAGATCTTTTAAGTACTTTTTTGTTTTAAAAACAAAAGATATATATGAACAAGAAACATAGTTTAATTACAGATATTATATTATTAGATAAAAAAAATTTGTTAAAAAGATATAAAAATTAAAATTTCTATATAAAAAATATAGCTAAACTTAGATATTAATAAAAAGTAATATTTTATTAATAAGTTATATAAGTTAAGAAATTAAAATTATTAGAAAGATCTGGTGATCCAATATAGTGAATAGATTGTTAGACTACTATGCAATAGATTTGGAGTTCAAATCTTACTGTTGATAATTTGAATAATTTCTCAAACTTTGTATCTAACTTACAGTAAACTTTGCTTGTTTTTAAAAGTTATAACCTTGTAAATCATATTGCACTAATGTTAATTGAATATTAGAAATATAACAGAATATTTGAGTTGTATTATATGAATAAATCAAGATAGAATCTATGAGCAGAGAATCTGTATAGTAAAAATCCCAAGTTAGGTAAAGTAGTATAGAGTTCAACAGGTATATTAGTTAACACTTAATTTGATAAAGAAGTTTAAATACAAAGAATACAGATTAAGTAGATACAAGTAAGTCTATTACATAAGGTTATATAGCAATACTAACTTGGCTTAGCTGCTAACTAGATTAGAAGAATCTGTATTATGTTTTTAATATAAAAACTAATAAAGTTTGACTAATAGCATTTGTATAAAGTAAAAAAAAAAAAAAAAAAAAAAAAAATTTGTTAGAAGTTATATATTATAGGATTAGAGATCTAAAATATAATATAATATTATAAACTTAAGTTATATAAGGTGAAGTCAATAGAAAAGGAACAAATCATTTTTAGTGAAATTTTTTTTATTTTTAAATTAAAATATCTCAATAATAATCTTATTAAATTTAATAATT